TTTTAGATCAAAAAAACCAAGCTTGGTGTACAGCAGCACTCAACTACACCAAATACATGTTTAACAAACTACAAATAACACATTTTTGCACTGTATCTTTACATTCTAATTCTCAAAATAACATGAAAAAAAATGTGTATAATACCCAAATGTGCAAAAATCATTAACATATACTAGTGGTGCACCGAAATGAAAATTCTGGTGCCGAAACAGAAACCAAAAATTCAAAATGCACTTGGCCGAAAAATGAATATATCGTTTTTTTGGAAAAAAATACACTTCGATTAAAAAAAAAAACAAAAAAAAACAATATATACTCCAATTTTTTTGTAAAATATGAAAGAGGATGTTAAGGCAAGTAAAAAGATACCCAACATGTCACACTTTAAAATTGCGAATGCTCGTGGAATGGCGTGAAACTGTGGTACATCTCCATGGGTGATGCTTTAAAAATGTCTACAGGTTAGCAGTGTAAAGTTACAGAGGAGGTCTGGTGTGAGAATTATTGCTCTTGCTCTGATGTTCGTGGAGATACCACACGTGTGTGATTTGAAGACCATTTACATATGTGGGCATGGCCTATGTATGCATTCACCACTACATGTGAGCACGGGGGGGGGGGGGGGGGGGGGAACGGGGGCACTTTAACATTTTTTATTATTATTAATTTTTATTTTTTTTGCAATGTCCCTTTAAAAAAAATTTTAATCACTTTTATTTTTATCATAGGAAATGCATGCATCCCTTGTGATAGAAATAGTGACAGGTCCTCTTTATGGAGAGATATGGGGTCAATAAGTCCCCACATCTTTCCTCTGCAATGTAAAGCATTGGATCAAAAATAAAAGTATTGATCTAGTGCTTGAAAAAAAAAAAAAAAAAAAAAGCCCAGAACAGGAAGTGACATCGCTCCGATCCTCCAAGGGCATAGAGATGAGTGGAGGCCATCTTTCCTTCACTCATCTCTATGCCCAGCGCTGGGATCGTTCGATGGTTTCTCAAGTAATACTGAGAACTACCGAGAGGCGGCCGGTGGCGACAGTGGCGGGCAGACGGCGAGGGACAGGGTTTTTTCGGCACCTGTATTGGTGCTTTTTTTAATTTAGTCCGACGGCCGAAAGGGGTGTTTTCAGGCGGAAACGTTTCGGCCACCGAAATTTCGGTGCATCCCTAACATACACTATACAGTCAGGTCCATAAATATTGGGACATCGACACAATTCTGACATTTTTGGTTCTATACACCACCACAATGGATTTGAAATGAAACAAACAAGATGTGCTTTAACTGCAGACTGTCAGCTTTAATTTGAGGGTATTTACATCCAAATCAGGTGAACGGTGTACGAATTACAACAGTTTGCATATGTGCCTCCCACTTGTTAAGGGACCAAAAGTAATGGGACAGTTGGCTTCTCAGCTGTTCCATGGCCAGGTGTGTGTTATTCCCTCATTATCCCAATTACAATGAGCAGATAAAAGGTCCAGAGTTCATTTCAAGTGTGCTATTTGCATTTGGAATCTGTTGCTGTCAACTCTCAAGATGAGATCCAAAGAGCTGTCACTATCAGTGAAGCAAGCCATCATTAGGCTGAAAAAACAAAACAAACCCATCAGAGAGATAGCAAAAACATTAGGAGTGGCCAAAACAACTGTTTGGAACATTCTTAAAAAGAAGGAACGCACCAGTGAGCTCAGCAACACCAAAAGACCCGGAAGACCACGGAAAACAACTGTGGTGGATGAGCGAAGAATTCTTCCCCTGGTGAAGAAAACACCCTTCACAACAGTTGGCCAGATCAAGAACACTCTCCAGGAGGTAGGTGTATGTGTGTCAAAGTCACCAATCAAGAGAAGACTTCACCAGAGTGAATACAGAGGGTTCACCACAAGATGGAAACCATTGGTGAGCCTCAAAAACAGGAAGGCCAGATTAGAGTTTGCCAAACATCATCTAAAAAAGCCTTCACAGTTCTGGAACAACATCCTATGGACAGATGAGACCGAGATCAACTTGTACCAGAGTGATGGGAAGAGAAGAGTATGGAGAAGGAAAGGAACTGCTCATGATCCTAAGCATACCACCTCATCAGTGAAGCATGGTGGTGGTAGTGTCATGGCGTGGGCATGTATGGCTGCCAATGGAACTGCTTCTCTTGTATTTATTGATGATGTGACTGCTGACAAAAGCAGCAGGATGAATTCTGAAGTGTTTCGGGCAATATTATCTGCTCATATTCAGCCAAATGCTTCACAACTCATTGGACGCCTCTTCACAGTGCAGATGGACAATGACCCAAAGCATACTGCAAAAGCAACCAAAGAGTTTTTTAAGGGAAAGAAGTGGAATGTTATGCAATGGCCAAGTCAATCACCTGACCTGAATCCGATTGAGCATGCATTTCACTTGCTGAAGACAAAACTGAAGGGAAAATGCCCCAAGAACAAGCAGGAACTGAAGACAGTTGCAGTAGAGGCCTGGCAGAGCATCACCAGGGATGAAACCCAGCGTCTGCTGATGTCTATGCATTCCACACTTCAGGCTGTAATTGACTGCAAAGGATTTGCAACCAAATATTAAAAAGTGAATGTTTCATTTATGATTATTATTCTGTCCCATTACTTTTGGTCCCTTAACAAGTGGGAGGCACATATGCAAACTGTTGTAATTCCTACACTGTTCTCCTGATTTGGATGTAAATACCCTCAAATTAAAGCTGACAGTCTGCAGTTAAAGCACATCTTGTTCGTTTCATTTCAAATCCATTGTGGTGGTGTATAGAGCCAAAAATGTTAGAATTGTGTCGATGTCCCAATATTTATGGACCTGACTGTATAACATGGGTGTCAAACTGGTGGCCCTCCAGCTGTTACCAAACTACAAGTCCCATGAGGCAATGCCTGATTGACAGTTAAAAGCATGACTCTCGAAGGCAGAGGCATGATGGGACTTGTAGTTTTGCAACAGCTGGAGGGCCGCCAGTTTGACACCCCTGAAAAACATATGTATAACATGAAAGTTCATCAAAAGTCCACCAGAACCATGTTTGTGTAAAAATCAGAAAACTTCAAATATCCCGTGATTACCCTGGTGAGAACCACCACCACTGCTGCAATCAGCCTCTTACCAAACAGGTTACCAACCAAATTATAGGAGGTCTTAACTAACTTATGGCTGCCTGAGAACTCTTGCCGTAATTACATCATAGGAATCAGGAACAACAGAGTTAACCAGCAGGACAGCCCCTTGAGAACATCTTGTCCAACGAAACGCATTGGAGCGGAGCCTGCATTGACGTCATCACGTCAGCAGAGGAAGCAGTGGAGGAGTTGTTTGTTGTGCCCATGCTTATCTATTTTTGTAAGTAGCTTTTTGTCTATATAGCAAATAAACCTGGCAGTTTCACACAACAAGGTTTTGTTACTTGTCCTCTTACTGGATCCATGTCTCATGATGAGCGGAGATGGTGACTAGATTCGATCCCTGACAATGTTCCCTGTGGTTCCCGATCTCTGTGATGTGTTTACTGCAAGAGTTCTCAGGTATCCACAAGCAAGTTAAAGCCGCCTATATTTTGGGGTCTCTCCAGTTTGGTAAGAGGCTGATTGCAGCAGTAGTGGGGGTACTCACCAGGGAATTCACGGACGAGCTTGCGTTTTCTGATTTTTGCACACACACAGTTCTGTGAACTTTTGATGAACTTTTATATTATATATATTAATGATTTTGCATATTTGGGTGTTATACACATTTGTTTTCACATTATTTTGAGGAATCAAATGTAAAGATACAGCACAACAATTTTATATATGCATTGTCTTTCTCCTTAACCACTTCAAGTGTTTTTCCACACACATTTAGCTCTGGAAAAGATTTATTCATTATTTCAGGTACTTATATAGTGCTGTCAATTTACGCAGCACTTCACAGGCGTACCTCGGTTTACAAACGCCTCGGTTAACGTAATTTTCAGTTTACGAATGAAAATCCATTGAAAATAATGGCTCGGTTTACGAATGTTTTTCGCAATACGAATGGATTAATTGGTTTTCAGTGCATTTACAAATTTTTTTTTAATCATGTCACTGTACAGTATTTATGCCTTTAAAGTGCTCTTTATAAAGAGTTTTGAACAGATAAAAGACTTTTTTTTAACTTTTTTCTGACCTCCGGAATGGATTAATTGGTTTTCAATGCATTTACAAATTTTTTTAATCATGTCCCTTTATACCTTTAAAGTGCACTTTATAAAGAGTTTTGAACAGATAAGACTTTTTTTTACTTTTTTCTGACCTCCGGAACGGATTAATTGGTTTTCAATGCATTTACTAATTAAATTTTAATCATGACCCTGTACAGTATTTATGCCTTTAAAGTGCACTTTATAAAGAGTTTTGAACAGATAAAAGACTTTTTTTTTTACTGTTTTCTGACCTCCGGAACAGATTAATTGGTTTTCAATGCATTCCTATGGGAAACCGCGTTTCGGTTTACTAACTTTTTGCAATTTCGAAAAGTTCAGCAGAGCGCATTAAATTTATAAACCGAGGTACACCTGTATATTGTACATTCACATCAGTCCCTAACTCTCAAGGGGCGTACAATCTAAGGTCCCTAATTCAAATTCATACATACACGTGCTAGGTCCAATTTTGACAGGAGCCAATTAACCTACCAGCATGTCTTTGGAGGAATCCAGAGTACCTGGAAGGAAACCCAAACAGGCACAGGGAGAACATACAAACTCCAGGCAGGTGGTGCCGTAGTTGGGATTTGAACCAATGACCCTAGTGCTGCCAGGCGGAAGTGCCAACCACTTAGCCATTGTGCTGCCCTATACTTCTTATCAATGCTGGCCCAGATGTTGCCTTCTTCTAGCCACATTTGTAGTCAGTATTGTAATGCAGTTTTGAGGAAAAATGCAGTCTTGTTGTGCAATCATTCATTTATTCGTGGTTTAAGAATTGTCTCCTTCGACTTGCAAGTCTGGGTCTTCGACTTAAGTAACTAGGTCCTTCTCTTGGTCAATGGAAGAACCAAGGGAACTTCCCACGTGAGTTCTCTCATGGGTAGTGAGGTTAGATTTGTTGGCAAAGCATTTCTTGCATACTGAACAAGAAAAGGGCTTCTCCCCTGTGTGCCCTCTCTCATGGGTGGTCAGATTGGATTTCTGAGCGAAGCATTTCCCACACACAGAACACGAATACGGTTTCTCACCCGTGTGAGTTCTTTCATGCGTGGCCAGGTTGGATTTCTGCGCAAAATGTTTCCCGCAGACGGAACAGGGGAAAGGTTTCTCCCCCGTGTGGATCCTCTCGTGCGCAGCAAGAAAAGCCTTATGAGCGAAAAATTTCCCACAGTAAGAACAGGAACAAGTCTTCTCACCGGTGTGAATCGTTTCGTGCCGGTTGAGACGAGCTTTATCTGAAAAGCTTTCTCTGCAGAGAGAGCAACAATACGGCTTCTGGCGCGTGTGGACTATCTCATGCCGCTGTAGGCGAGTCATATCGGGGAAACTCTTCCCACACCGAGAACATGAATATGGCTTCTCATGGATGTGGGTCCTCTCGTGCTTGCTGACGTCGGCTTTTTGGGCAAAGCATCGTCCGCATACTGAACACGGGTAAGGCTTCTGGCCCGTGTGTATTCGTTCATGTCGGTCCAGATTGGCTTTATCGGGAAAACCTTTGCCGCAGTGAGAACACGAGTGTGGCATCAGTCCCGTATGAGTCCTGACATGTTTGTTGAGGTCTGCTTTCAGAGCGAAGCATTTCCCACATTCCGAGCACGTAAAGGGCTTTCGGCCTGTATGGAGCATTTGATGAGCAACGAGAGAGGATTTCTCAGTGAAACATTTCCCACATTCGGGACAGGAGTGTGGCTTCTCCCCTCTGTGGCTTCTTTCGTGTCTGATGACCTGGTGTTGCTGAACGAAACATTTTCCACATTCGGAACAGGAAAAGGGCTTCTCCCCCGTGTGGGTCCTCTGGTGTTTCACCAGACACGATTTCACCGCAAAACTCTTTCCACATTCCGAGCAGGAATAGGACTTCTCTTGGGTGTGACATTTTTGGTGTCGAATAAGGGGACGTTTCTCGGAAAAACATTTTCCGCACTCAGGGCACGAATACGGCTTCAAGCCCGTGTGGGTCCCTTGATGTGCTACAAGGTTTCTCTTTTCTGTGAAGGACTTTCCGCATTCTGGACACGAATAGGGCTTTACACCGGTGTGGGATCTTTGGTGTACAGTCAGTTTGCCCCTCTTTTTAAAACGTTTCCCACATTCAGAGCATGGAAATTCTTCAGCCTCTCTTGGAAGTATATGGTGGATGATGGAATTAATTTGATTGGACGAAATTCTCTGGTGGAGCGTTGAGGAAATGGGGTCTTCTGAGGGAGAAGCGGCTGTGATGTCATCATCTCCTGTTTCACTATCTAGAGAGGAGGCGGAACTTTCCTCTGAGTTATATTTTCGGTATCTTCCATCTACAGGAGATAAGAATGGTTCATTTTTTTTTGCTGGGTTATCAAAGTTTATTAACATTTTTTATGTGCCAAGTCTATTTACTGCTTACCCAAGAACTTTTTAAACCTTACAACACAAGTGTCAAACTGGAGGCCCTCCAGCTGTTGCCAAACTACAAGTCCCATGAGGCATTGGAAGATTGACAGTTACAAGCATGACTCTGAATGGCAGAGGCATGATGGGACTTGTAGTTTCGTAACAGCTGGAGGGCCACCAGTTTGACACCCCTGTTCTACAACATACAAGGCCTTCTGTGAATGAACATCTAGGGCCCCCCCAGGTGGCTAGATGTTAAAGACTGTTGTATGGACTCTTTTTCATGCATAGCGTTTACTGCTCACCTGTACTGATCTCCAATGGAATGTCCTCTTCTTTAATCTTCACACATCTTATCTCCTCCTCCTCAGATTTGAAGTCTCTCTGAGTGTCTCCAGTGTCTGTGAATAAAGATGAGAGTGAAGCCCCCTGTACTGAGATGTATGAGAGACCCCAGAGAGTGTGTGTGGGGGGAGACTGGTCACATCTCGATGACATGATGTGAGGAGGAGAGCCGGAGTCTAATAGAGGCTGATGGCTCCTGACTCCCCCACTGGGCACATACTGTCCCCCCCATTACTGTCTACTGACAGAGGAGGGGGGAGAAGAAGAGATTGTTGTAGTGACTGAACAAGGAGGATCTGGGACTCTTCTCTGGATTTAGTGTTTATTCCTCACCTGTGCTGATCTTTGGAGGACCTTCCTCCTCCTTACACGACACATCATCCCTCCCATCACTATCCTCGGCTTCTTCTTTTACTTCCACTTTAATAGTGACAATATCTGTACCCTGAATAACAAAAAGCAATACCAATACTAAATTAAATTTCAAATACAGGTGTACCTCGGTTTACGAATTTAATGCGTTCTCTGGGACTTTTCGTATTGCGAAAAATTCATAAATCGAAATGCAGCTTCCCATAGGAATGCATTGAAAACCAATTAATCCGTTCCACAGGTCAGAAAAAAGTAAAAAAAAGTTTTTTATCTGTTCAAAACTCTTTATAAAGTGCACGTTAAAGGCATAAATACTGCACAGGGACATGGTTAAAAAATTTTTGTAAATTCATTGAAAACCAATTAATACGTTCGTATTGCGAAAAAAAAATTGTAAATTTATTATTTTTTTTAACAAACTTTGTTTTTCCTCTATGCCGATCATTATACGGAACCCGGAGCTCTCAGTGACACCCCGGTCTTTGTGCTGGGAGTACGCCGTGCGGCACGCTCCCAGCAGAAAGACAGGTACGCAAATATGTGGCCTCACAGAAAAAAGCCCGGTCCCGTGAGGCCGCATATTTGTGTGATGTCGGAGTCAAGGGGTTAAACTCCAAGATCTCGGTTTGACACGAACGCCACTCTTATATGTACATGAATTTATTTCTTTATTATACCTATTAAGCCTTCATATAAAGCAGGCACTGTCACAGTATTGTTTGATAGGGCCTAGTGTTCCATCTACCTGATCCTCCTGATGTTCCTGTGTGGAGTCCCGGGAATACAGAGGACGGGGACATCTCTCTGGTGGGTTCCCATTACTGGATCCATCTGTAGGAAACACACACACTGACTGAATACATTGTTTCTATGTCTTTATATCAGAGGATGTGTGTATCTAGGTGGATCCTCAATACAAGAAATGAAAGTCTCCTCTTACCCGGTGATGTGAGGGGCGGCCGGTTCTCCATCATGACGTCCTTGTAGAGATCCTTGTGTCTTTCTATATACTCCCACACCTCCATGGAGAAATAGACAGTGACATCCTGACACCTTATAGGAACCCTCTCATACTACATCTTTATATCAGAGGATGTGTGTATCTAGGTGGGTCCTCGATACAAGAAATTAAAGTCTCCTCTTACCCAGTGATGTGAGGGGTGGCCAGTCCTCCATCATGACGTCCTTGTAGAGATCCTTGTGTCCTTCTATATACTCCCACTCCTCCATGGAGAAATAGACAGTGACATCCTGACACCTTATAGGAACCCTCTCATACTACATCTTTATATCAGAGGATGTGTGTATCTAGGTGGGTCCTCAATACAAGAAATTAAAGTCTCCTCTTACCCAGTGATGTGAGGGGCGGCCGGTCCTCCATCATGACGTCCTTTCACTCATACTTGTGTCCTTTAAAAGTATACCAGTTCTCAGCATGTCTGAACACTACAGAAAGAGAGGCATGTATATAAAGATTTAGCTGCAACAATTACATTGCATTAAAGCAGTAGTAAACTCCGCTGTAAAATTTTCTTTTTAGGCCCCCAGGTGGATTTTGCCATAATGCTCTAGTATGCATGGAATATTAGTACATTATGGCACTTACCTGTCAAACTGTGCCCTCCAGCACTACGGTGGGATCGATCCATCGGGCCACCAGCACTTCCATCTTCACCCGGTCTTCCTTACGGGTTCTGTGCCCTCAGACTTTCAATAGGCCGGGCCATGATGTCACTCCCGCACATGTGTACAAGAGTCACATCGCCACGGCACGGATTGGGGCCATAAATGTTCTCTGAGCTGCACATGCGCAGCTCAGTGTGCATGGCAGGTGACAGGTAGGAGGATGCATTTATGGCAGAAGCGACCTATATGGTCTCTTCTGTCATCAATACCCTGCATGTCAGCAATTTTGTAAAAATGTACTTCCACATTAACATAATGGCTGCAAAAAGTCAACATAAAATGCTTCTATCGCTAAAATAGACTCATTACTATGATGTCTGTCCATTGATTATATAAAGAACTGAACCCTAATCTCTCCATAGCTTTTTCCTCCACAGCTGTCCCTTTTATGGACCCAAACTCCTCTGTTCCTCTTTCCTACACAACTGTCCCTCTTCTTGACTCGAATCCCTCTGTCCCTTCACAGATGACTCATCCTTCCACAGTTGTACCACGCATGAAAATAACTACCTCTGTCTCTCTATAGCTGTCCTTCTTTAGGGATCCCAATCCCTCCATCACTCTTCCCTTACAAAACTGTCCCTCTTCTAGACCTGAATACCTTTCTCCCTTCACCATTGAGCTTCTTGTGGACCCAAATCCCTCTTTCCACCACAAATGTCTCCTTTGAGATCTAAATCAATAACTGTCTTTTTTTGGGACCAGCATCCTTCCATCCTTCTCTTCTTACATAACTGTCCCTCTTTAGGATCCTAATTCCTCTGTTGCTCTTTGCTCCACAGCTGTGCCTCTTCTGGACTCGAGCTCCTCTGTCCATCCACAGATGCCTCTCTTCTGAACCTGAATCCCTCCACAGTTGTCCCACTCCTGGAAATGAATACCTCTGTCCCTCCATAACTGTCCTTCTTTGGGATCCAAATCCTTACATCCTTCTTTTCTTCTATTACTGTCCCTCTTTGGGACCTAATTTCCACTGTTCCTCTTTCCTCCACAACCGTGCCTCTTCTGTACCTGAGTCCCTCCATCCCTCCACAGTAGTCCCTCTTCTAGAAATGCCTCTGTCCCTCTGTATCTGTCCCTCTTCTGGACCAGAATTCTTCTGCCCCTCAACAGTTGTTCCTCTTTTGGACCTGAATACCTCTGTCCCTCTTCTCAACAAATGCCCCTCTTCTGGACCTGAATCCCTCTTTCTTCCACAATTTTCTCTTTTCTGAACCTGAATCCCTCCATCCCTCCGCAATTGTCCCATTCCTGGAAATGAATACCTCTGTCTCTCCATAAATCTCCTTCTTTGGGATCTGAATCCCTCCATCCTTCTTTTCTTCTATAAAGTAATCTCTTCTGGTCCCAAATACTTCTATCCCTCTTTCATCCACAATCTTTAAACTCTCTATCACTCTTTTTTCTGTCCCTTTTCTCCACAACTGTCCTTCTTCTTCACCTATCTCTGTCCCTTTTCTCCATAACTGCCCCTCTTCTGGACCTGAATCTTTCCATCACTCTTTCCTTCCATAACTGTCTCTCTTCTAGACCCAAGTCCTTCCATCCCTCCATAGTTGTCCCTTTTCTGGAAATGAATGCCCCTGTTTGTCTGTAGCTTTCCTATTTTGGAACCTGAGTCCCTCTGTCCCTCCACAGATGCCCCCTTTTCTTGACCTGAAAACCTCTGCCCCAGTATCCAAAATTGTCCCTCTTCTGGACCTGAATCCTTCTATCCGTCTTTCCTATACAGTTATCCCTCTTCTAGACCTGAATACCTCTCCCTTTTCTCCACTACCACCCCTCTTCTGAACCTGACTCCCTTCATCCCTCTTTCCTCCACAATTGCCTCTTTTCTCGACCCAGGTCCCTCCATTCCTCTACAGTTGTTCCACTTCTGGAAATGAATACCTTTGCCTGTCCATAACTATAATTCTTTGGGACCATAATCACTCTATCCTTCTTTTCTTCTATAACTGAACCTCTTCTGGACCAAGATGTCTCCATTCCTCTTACCTCCACATCTGTGTCTCTTCTGGACCCAAGTACTTCTATCCCTCTTTCTTCCACAATTAGCTCACTTTTGGACTCTCAATCACTCCTTTCTTTCATAACTTTCCCTCCTCTGGATCTGAATACCAACTGTCCCTCCACAACTGTCCCTTTTCTGGACCCAAATCCCTCTTTCCTCCACAACTGTCCCTCTTTGGAACTCAAACCACTCCATCCATCTTTTTTTCCATAACTGTCCCTCTTTGGGACCTTAATTCCACTGTTCCTCTTTCATCCACAACTGTGCCTCTTCTGGACCTGAGTCCCTCCATCTCTTCACAGCTGTCCTTCTTCTAGAATAGAATACCTGTCCCTCCATATTTGTGCCTCTTCTGTACCTAAATTCTACTGTCCCTCCAGAGATGTCCCTCTTCTGAACCTGAATATCTCTCTCCCTCTTCTCTACAACTACCCTTCTTCTGGACCTGAATCCCTCCATCCCTCTTTCCTCCACAATGTTTTCATTTCTGAACCTGAATCCCTCCATTCCTTCACAGTTGCCCCACTCCTGGAAATGAATACGTTTGTCTCTCCATTACTGTCCTTCTTTGTGACCTGAATCCCTCCATCTTTCTTTTCTTCTATACCTGAACCTGTTCTGGAACCATATCCCTCCGTTCTTCTAACCTCCACATCTGCTCCTCTTCTGGTCCCAAATACTTCTATCCCTCATTCACCCACAATTAGCTCTCTTTTGGACCCAACTTCCTCCATCACTCTTCCCTTTAATAGCCGTCCCTCTTCTGGACCTGAATACCTCTCCATAACTGTCCTTGTGGGCCCACATCCCTTTTTCCTCCACAACTCTCTCCTTTGAGACCCAAATCCCTTCATCCAGATTTTTTTTTCAAAAACTGTCCCTCTTTGGGACCAGCATCCTTCTATCCTTTTCTTTTATAACTGTCCCTCTTCTGGACATAAATTCCTCTGTTCCTCTCTTTCCTCCACAACTGTGCCTCCTCCTCCTTCTGGACCCAAGTCCCTCCATCCATCCACAGTTGCCCCTCTTCTGGAAATGGATACATCTGTCCCTCCACAATTGTCCCTCTGCTGGACCCAAATACCTTTAGTTCTATTTTCTTTACAACTGTTTTCCTTTGCTCTTTGCTCTCTTTCCTTTTCTTTTATAACTGTCCATCTTCTGGACCTAAATTCCTCTGTTCCTCTTTCCTCCACAGCTCTGCCTCCCTCCTACTTCTGGACCAAAGTCCCTCCATCCCTCCACAGTTGCCCCTCTTCTGGAAATGGATCCCTCTGTCCCTCCATAATTGTCCCTCTGCTGAACCCAAATACCTCTAGTTCTCTTTTCTTTACAACTGTTTTCCTTTGCTCTTTTGTTCCATATCTGACCCTCTCCTAGACCCAAATCCCTCCACAGTTGTCCCTCTTCTGGACCGGAACACCTCTGTCCCTCTGTATATGCCCCTCTTCTGGACCTGAATACCTCTGTTGCTCTGTATCTGCCCCAATTCTGGACCCAAATCCCTCCATCCCTCCACAGTTGTCCCTCTTCTGGACCTGAATACCACTGTCCCTCTTCTGGACCCAAATCTCTCCATCCCTCCTTCCTCCAGGACCACCCCTCTTCTGGAATCCCTGTCCATCTTCCCTACTCGTTCTGATTGCTCCATACGTTGGGGTTCTAGAGGAAGCAGCCAATTGACTGTTTTCTTTCCCTAACCCCCAGAAACCTGACAAAGATTGGTAGCTTTAGGCTTCCCCAAGAGAAGTTCTACAACCAAATGAAAAGCAACGGGTCTCCGAGGTCCGACGGAGCGGCAGGTCTTCAATCAATGGAGATGCTCAGCAGACACAGAGGATAGGTTGGTGTTCCAAGCATGGAGATCCCGACCAATCAGAGCCCGGGGGGACCACAACCTGGAAAAACCTAGTTCATCCTAAACTACATTAGGCAGAATCTGTGTTAAAACTGACCTGAAGCACTGCTTCATCCTAAAGGGACCCGGTCATGGCCAGACTTATCCATCATTTAGTCTACAGTGGTGCTAATAAACACATTTACAGCCATTTAAAAAAAAAACATGCAAAAGACGCAACGCGTACGTTCAGATTATAACGTTTGAAGGTACCATCATACATATATAGAAGGTAATT